AACTGATGCTTTATCCAAGAGATTGTGTTTTATGCATTTTATTTTCTGGTTTACTTATCAACGTGTCACACCACACTGGGACACATGCTAGAAATCATGGCCTGCTATTTCTAGAGTCATCACAAAAGTTGACAATTTTATCAAAGTACACAAAGTCCCATATTTACCTGTCTGACAGACTCAGGTTAACATAAAATATGGATCAGTTTCTGAACCTACCAAGAATTACTATTTACTCCAAATAAATAAGTTCTGTGCCTGTCTCTTTGTAGGATATGCGGAACATTCCTTTCTCCAGTCCTACTCAGGCTCCCTTCCACAGCTCTTTCTCTGGTACATTGATAATGTCATCAGGACTGCTTCCTGCACTCATTCAGAATTGGAAACGTAACCAGTTTTGCTTCCAATTTTTGTCCTCCTCTCACCTTCACCTGGTCTATCTCTGACTCTCCATTTCCCTTCTTTGACTTCACTGTTTCTATTTCTGGAGATAAGCTGTCCACCAATATCCAGTATAAACCCACTCATCCCATAGTTACTTTGACTACAGTTTCACACCCTGTTTCCTTCAAGGATTCCATTCTATTCTCTCAGTTTCTCCGTCTCCGCGGCATCTGTTTCAATAAAGCCATCTTCCACTGATGTGTCTCCAAACTTTTCTCAATTTTTCTCAGTCGAGAATTGCCCCACACCATGGTTGACAGGGCCTTCAGATGTGTGCTACCCATTTGCTGCCCTTTTGCCCTCACCACTTTCCTTCTCTCCCAGACAATGAAAGGCTTCCCCATGTTGTCACTTTGCACACCACCAGTCTCCACACTGAGAGGAAATTCTCTGCCATTTCCACCACATCTAGCAGGATGCCACCAACAAATTCCTCTTCTCCTCCCCACACTTGAGCGTTCCGCAGGGACTGTTCCCTCTGTGAACTCTGGTTCACTACTCCACTTCACTTACACTCCTCCATCCTCCCCACAAGGTACCTTTCCATGCAAAATTACATGGGGTGCTTCTTGCCCCGATACGTCCCCTCTCCTTACAGTCTAAGATCCCAAACACACTTTCCAGGTGACATATCATTTCACTTATATTTCTTTCAAACTAGTCTACTGTATTCACTTCTCACCATGTGGCCTCCTCTAAATTGGCGAGACAAAATGCAGACTGGGTAACGACTTTACAGATCAGCTCCACTCTGTCTACAAGAATGACCCAGACATTTCAGTTGCTTGCCATTTCAATGAACTATCTTGTTCCCATTTCCATCCTAGGCCTGCTGCAGCATTCCAGCAAAGTTCAACACAAGGTGAAGAAACAACACCTCATTTTCCACTTAGGCACTTTACAACTTGGGAACTAACATTGAAAGTTCAACAGCTTCAGAGCATGAACACCGTCTTTCATTTTGATTACATCCCCACCCTTCCCCATGTCTTGCTTATGTTTTGTTGGCCTTGCTCCCAGAAGAGCTGACCTGTTTTCTCCTGTTAAAAGTTATCATTAACATCTACTTTACATCTTAATCTGTCGTTTATCACCATTAGCACTGCCTTTATATTTTGCTCACCGCACCCACCCTCCCACTCCATCTTATCAACGGCATAAGAGCCATAACTTTCCAGCCCCTTAGTACTGAAAAAAAGACAAACTCTTTCTCTCTTTGCCAGACCTGCTGAGTTTCTCTAATATTTTCTGTTTTAGTTTTAATCAAGAAAGCAGAAACAGGAGCAATAGATCATGCTTTTAGGAAATTTTGAGTGTTGACATTAGAGTACATAACATGGCCTCATAGTCTCCACTTAGTCTGGAATTTAAGAGGGATGAAAAATAATTAGAAAATCCAGACACATGTAGGATTCCACTTCCTTTCTCTAACGTGAAGATGGTGCCACCAAGGCATTGATGTACTAACTGGAACAGCCTACCTGAAGTTTCTGGGACAAAAAGCTTATATACAGCCCACATGATCCTTAAGGAACCTGATCATCAAAAATCATTGGCAAACTTTTTTTTGCACTGATCAAGCAAAGGAAAACAAAATGTGGCATAACATGCCTCCTATGAAAAAAATGTGGAAATTAAGAAAGAACTATTTGTTTTATTTTGTCACAGATGTCAGTGTTGCTGGTCAGGTCTTAGTGCTGGCTTTTTTGCTTCTGTGCAAAGTAGACTCAGTGTCTGACTGAAGCAATTATATGGAATATACTGCCTGTGACTTAATTGACAGTCAGTTAATCTTTTTATCACCTAAAAAACTGGTAATGGTATTGGGAGAATGACTGCATATTGTTGATTGTCAGAAATACCTTGTAACCAAGGCCTATATCACATTGTGACAGTTGACATAGCAACAATTAATGCTGCCAGCAAAACATGACCAGACTGCAAATATTGAGGACAGGCAGTCCACAAATTTGGGAAAAGATAAACCACACTAAATAAAATAAACTGAAAGTATATGAGCTGCTGCAATGCAGAACCATCCAGTGCTTGCTTAAGAAAAGTTAGAAAATATGAAGAGGAAAATTACTTACACAAATGAAAAATAAACTGTTAAGGAAAAAGGTTTCAGTCATTTACTACAATGGCACATAATTTCTCCATAACTAAAATATTGGTAGCACAATCTTAAACAACTTGATTCACAACATCTCCAGCCAGACAGGTCATTATCTGTTTTTGCCTTTTTTTTATTAATGACTTTGGCGTATTGGGCTCAATTCCAAAATTTGTGGATGTTTCTAAGAACGCAGGAGCAAAAATATTAAATCGAGTTAGAGAGTTCAAGAGCACAAGAATCCTGGGGGTATATGTGCATAAATGGTGGCAGGATAGGCTGACAGAGTGATTAATTAAACCGATAGTATTTTAGGTTTTACTAATAGAGACATAGAAGTCAAAAATAAGTAACTGATATTGAAATTAACTAAGGGACTAGTTTAGCCTCAGCTGGGGTATTACTTCCAGTTTGTGTGCGATTTTATGAAAAATGTGAAGGCATTGGAAAGAGTGCGGGAATGATTCATGACAGTGCCTCCAAAGATAAGGAACTTCAGTGAAAAAGACAGATGAGACAGTTTTCCTTGGAGATAAGAAGGCCAATAGGCGATCTGATGGAGGTATGCAAAACACTGATAGCTTTGAAAAGAAACTGTTCCTATTCATGAAGGGTTGCTGTCAAGGTTTAAAGTGAGTGGCAAAAGAGACGTGGAAAAATGTTTTACATAGCAAATGATTAAGATCTGGAATGCACTACCTGAGATTGTGGCAGAGGGAGATTCAATCATTCAAAAAGAATTAGATTATTATCTGAAAATAAAGAATGTGCAGAGTTACAGAAAAAAAAGAGATGGGGTGGGAACTAATGAAAATGTCAGTAATGTTCCTTAGTTGCAAAAAGACTTGCATTTTATGTGGCGTCCTTCATAACTTCTGAACATTTTAGAGTTCATTTCAGCCAAAGAAGCACTAACGTGTTGTAATGCCAAAAAAAATGGCAGGTAAATCACTGACAATAAAGACCTACAAACAGCAATTTAATAATGACTAGATGATCAGATTTTAGGTATTCGCTAACAGTTAAGCATTGGGACAAAAGATTACCTACAAAATGCAGTTACTAGTATATTGAATCCAAACTTACATTAAATAAATTTGTACAAGAATAAATTAAACTATTTTTGAGAAGTGTTGGCCAGGACATCAGTACACCCCCTACTCTTCTTTGGAAGATACATGGAATTTTTTATACCATGGCAGGAGGAACCGCTGACTTTTTTTAAAGTCAAAACAGCCCCTTCAATGTAATTCTTCAGTAACGCGTTGAAATAAAGTGCTTTGAGTTCAACCACAAGTCCATCACCGCCCTCTATGATTGTCACAGCTCCATGAATCCCTCTCCCTGGTCCAGCTCCTATTACTGTCCGTTCCGGCTGGCAATTTGTTCCCGTCCCTCCGGACACCTTATGCTGAGACACCTGGACGTTAAACTGCGCCGTTTCCAAGTTTGGTTCCCATGGAAACAGCACGCGCAGCGGATTCAGCGCCCGGGGGCAAAATAGAAAAAGTAGGATAGACAGAGAGAGAGAGAAAGGGGGATAGACAGAGAGAGATAAAGGGGAGGATAGAGAGAGATAAAGGGGGATAGAGATAAAGGGGAGGATAGAGGGAGATAAAGGGGGATAGAGATAAAGGGGAGGATAGAGAGAGATAAAGGGGAGGATAGAGAGAGATAAAGGGGAGGATAGAGGGAGATAAAGGGGATAGAGAGAGAGATAAAGGGGAGGATAGAGAGAGATAAAGGGGGATAGAGATAGAGATAAAGGGGAGGATAGAGAGAGATAAAGGGAGATAGAGATAGAGATAAAGGGGAGGATAGAGGGAGATAAAGGGGATAGAGAGAGATAAAGGGGGAGGATAGAGAGGGATAAAGGGGATAGAGAGAGAGATAAAGGGGGAGGATAGAGAGGGATAAAGGGGAATAGAGAGAAAAATAAAGGGGAGGACAGGGAGAGAGAGATAAAGGGGGATAGAGAGAGAGACAGACAGATAAAGGGGAGGATAGACAGAGAGAGAGATAAAGGGGGAAGGTAGAGAAAGAGATAAACGGGAGGATAAAGAGAGAGATAAATAAGGGGGGAGGAGAGAGAAACAAAGGGAGGGGATAGAGAGAGAGTGAAAGGGGAAGGATAGAGAGAGAAAGGGGTGGGGGAGGATAGAGAGAGTGATAAGAAGGGATTGGGAGTTAGAGAGAGGGCTAAAGTCAGGGGGATAGAGAGAGGGATAGAGAGAGAAGGAGAGATAGAGAGTGAGATAGGGGAGAGAGCTAGAGAGTGGCATAGAGAGAGAGAAGGCTGGGGCAAGAGAGATAGGGAGAGATAGAGAGAATGATATAGACAGTTGGATAGAATGAGATAGAGAGAGGGATATAGGAGGGAGAGGGAAAGAGAGAGAAGGAGAAGTAGAGAGTGGGAAAGAGAGAGATAAGGAAGAATAACGAGAGAGGGATAGCGTGAGAGAGAGGGATAAACAGAGAGGTAGAAGGGAGAGAAGGTTAGAGAGATAGGGAGAGTGGGATTGAGAGAGAGAGATAGAGAGAGCCTGGGATAGAGGAATTGGAACAACCTGGAAGAAAGAGAAGGATACTGTGATAGAGAGACTGCAGTAATCCAGGAGCTAGAGAGAGGGACATAGAGAGAGACAGGGACTGGGATAGCGAGAGAGACAAAGTTGAACTGGGATAGATAAGGAGATTAAGATAACCCAGGTGGGATTTGAGCTGCAGAAGATGATCCCTCCAATAGACTCACTTTTGAAATATGACCATCCGCTACTTGTCAGCAGGAATGTAGAGAAAAAATCTGCAAAGGTGAGGGCTCTGTATAGTTTTAACCTGAAATCCACCTTCATAGCTTTGCTTTGGGACAGGTTTCCTCCTTTACTTCCGGCCAAATGCCCACTTGAGCCTGATCTGTACTAGGTTCTTGGACTCATGGGTCCAATGAGCCACTGCAATAGACTTGGCTGGTAATGCTTACAACTTTTATAAATATTCAACCTTTTCACCTTCTCAAACTACTGTCTCATTCCTAATTTCATTTTCATTTAAGAATCTGAAGTGTTGTCACCTCTCAACTAGACTTCTCCATATTTGAACCCCTTAAGTCTTGCTTCTGTCCTCTCAGGGCACTGAGACTTTCCTAGCCAAACCCACCAAGTAATGATAACCTGTGTGTCTTTGATTACAGGGCTATGCCTTGTCAACTTCTCTAACCTTTGACTTTGTTCACATTTCGTCTGTGCAATTACCTTCATTATTTCTTACCTTTACTATTGTACCCAGCATGAATTCCGTAATGGCTAATGTTCATGTGCCTGCATAGAATGTCATTCCCTTAATGGCTCTCTCAATCCTCATCAAGATTTTCTATAAAAACATGGAATAAGCTCTTGGATTGCTGACGATAGGCAATTTTATCTCTGCACCATTTTCTTCTGTAATTGTCGTAGTACTGAACAACTGTTGGTTTGACATCAAGAAGTAGGTGACTGAGAACCATCTGCTGCTTGCCAATGATCAACCCAAATGCTTCCTGTTCAGAAGCTGATTTATTGCATTATCCTGCAAGTGAAGCAGTTATTTGCTTGATAGACTGTATATTGACTGATATTGACTGCAACAGGAAACAAGGCTGTGGTACAGAAGATGAAAGCTGCCATTACTTCAGAGCTGCAAGCAGAGCTGTGTAATTTGGCTCTGGTCTTGTTGCAACAGGTATTATAATCAATGACTGCCTGCTGCTGCAGCACAGTCTCCTCATAAACTAGTCCACTGATAGTTGAGGTACAACATCCCATTTCCAGAAAACAACTATCGTTGTAGTTCCCCTTCATTGCGATTCCTTTGCCAACTTCCTTCACCTGTCATTGCTGACTTATCTGATTTTGCTGTTGCCGTGACAGCCTCAATGGATATCTTCTGACCCTGTACAGCCAAAGAGTCAATGATTGCAACTGCAGCCAGAAGTCAGGAAGCCAACTCCGCTATTCTCTGAAATTACACCAATATCAGCCAAAAATGGCTTCAAAAATCCCAGGATCAGAAATAGTCTTTATAGAGGCTTATTACAATAAAAATGGGGACCTTAATTAATAGTACTGTTTAAACCAACTTTTATTTTTCTGGGCAGGTACAAGAAAGTCCCAGAAAGCAATTTCTTAAACGCCTATGAATACATCTTGATAAGCCATTTGATAGTCAGCTCATATTTGTCTTTGCAGGTATGATGGCATTTTGTGTGAATTTCTGCTCTGGGCCATATGTCAGTGAAATTTGTAAGTTCAATACTGAATTTGCACTTGCAAGATGCAAAGGACTTTCTGGTCTAGCTCCTTTAAAAATTCAGCCTGAATATCAATTGCAGTGATGTGCTCAATTCTTAGGAAGAGGCTTGAATACACACACTTCAACTCACAGGCAAGATAACGACTAACTGAGCTAAATTGTCACTGCCAGCAAATTTTCATTGCTAAGATCTCTTTGTATTGTATGGATTGCTTTTGTTAGTCTAATAATGAGAAAGATTTTATTTCTGTGTTGCCTACAACACAGTTTTAGTTGAAATACTATAAAGAAGCCAATTAAAGTTGTGCAAATTGTTATAATGTGCTGTAAAATATCACTAAAATGTACTAAATAAATAGTTCATTCTATTCTGGACTTCTTGTTTAACTGTTTAACAGTGAAATAACTATTTTGAGAAGGAAAGGGCTCCAGTGTTTTTTTGTTTAGTTTTGAAAGTAATATTCCTGGAATGCAGAAGAATTAAGGCTTTTTATATGCTAGAGACTCCAATGCAATGTAGCTCAGCATTGTCCTACAGAATTCAATTTGTGTTTTATCCATTTCAGGCTCGTCCCTTCAAAGTGAGTGCCCAACAGCCTACATCTACTTCACCAATTCCAAGTCCTCCAAAAGCCAAACCAGTTGCAATTGATGTTACCAAGCAGACAGAAGAGATTTTAAATGCAATTTTGCCACCAAGGTAAACCAGCAGGATTTCTCTTCCAAATCAATAAACACTTAGTCAGGGAATTTTGGTCCACAAAAACAGTGACATTTCATTTTACGACTAAGATGCTGAAAGGCTTTGACAAGATGGATGTGGAAAGGATGCGCACTTCCCAGCAATGTCAACATACTACAATTAGAAGCAACTCCAGATTCAAAAGAAATTATTGTCTCTCAAGTCTAATGTACGCAAATATGGCGACCAGTTTCTACACATAGATGTTCTCCAAAGAGCAAATAAGATGAACAAGTAACAAATTTTTTTTGGTAATGTTGGTTTGTTTCCTCATCTATTTCGACCTTTCTGTAGTCATTGACATGCTTCACCATACTACCAGCCTAGACCTGTCTTCTGCTTTCTAGCTGATGGCACTGTCGTTTCCTGGCTCCACTTTATGAATCCAGCATTGGCCAGGAAATCTGCAATGGCTTCACCTTCCACCTCCACACACTTAGCTTGGACCTCTCCTTGGCATCCTCCTATGTCTCATCTATACATTGTCTGCAGTGACATCATCTAAAGGCTTGACATCATGCTTCTTATGTACACTAGAACACCCCACATTAGTGCATCAGCATCTGTCTGGACCTCTTCACTGTATCTGACTTACAGTCTTCGCTGAGCTGTAATATTTTCCAATTAAACATTTGTAAGACTGGAGACTAAACCTTTAAAAAAAAAGCTATCACACTTAAAGAGCAAAGATAAATCCATAATAATGAGTTTATTTCACTCGCAGAGGTTCAGTTATCTCAGTTGGCTGGACAGCTGTATTGCAGTGCAGAGTGCTGCTAACAGTATGGGTTCAATTCCTGCACCATCTGAGGTTACCATGAATGACTCTTAACCTCTCGGGTTAAACCATCACTAGTCATCTCGCTGTACTGAGAGAGCAACTCTAAGATCCTCTGAGAGTGTGGTGACTTTACCTTGATTTCATTCACCAGACAATGGCTGTAAATTCATTCAATTGCTTTTGAGTTAAATAACTGAAATATCACGGTGCACGAAGTTCATAAATTTCCAAAAGCTTTATTGGCATACATTATGTGTACACATACAAACTCCCAATATGAACATTCAAATCAGGAGCAGAAGTAGGCCATTGAACTGCTGTTCCACACAATAAGAACATGGTTGATCTGTTTGTATTCCGAATTCTGCGTTCTCATTTACGCCAAGTAATGTTTGATTCCCTTCTTTAACAAGAATCTATCTTAGAAATATTCAATAATCCTCACCTCCACTGCTTGCTGAGGCAGAGAGTTCCAAAACCCTTAAAGAGAAAGAAATGTCTCTTCATCTCCTAAAATGGCGACCACTAATTTCTAAACAGTGCTCCATAGTTCTGGATTTATTTTTACATTTGTAGCTAGCTTCCTTTCATTCTCTAATTTCTTCCTCCTGATTAACCTATGGTCAAAATATAATGAATTTTGAAGTTTGATTCTTTCCTTAACTTTTTTTAGTTGCACAAGGATTTTTCTCTATAGTACGAATATATTTGTTCTGAGTACTCTGAAATACCCCCTTAAATGTTTGCCACTGAGTCACGTTGGTCTATCGCCTGGTATGCTCATTTACTTCAGCTAGCTTAGCTTTCATGCCAACATAGCTGCCTTTAAGTTTAAACCAGCAGTCTTAGACCCAGTCTTTTTTCTTTCAACCTGAATATAAAATTTTAGTCATATTTTAGGTGATACTGCCCAGGGATTCCTTAACTCTGATGTAATGAATTAATCCTATAACACTACACAATAATAAGTTTAATATGACTTGGTCTCTAGTTGGTTCCAAAACCTGCTACTCTCAGAAACGATCTCATCAGCATTCTATGGCTTCATCATGCAGGCTACAACTGCCAATTTTTTTTCAATTTATATGTAAATTAAAGTCATGTATGATAATGATCATCCTTTTATCACAAGCACCCAATATTTCTTTTAGGATACTTCGTCCCACATTGTGGTTACAGTTATAGATACTGAAATGCCACTCCCCTAATGGTGGCTTTACTCCACTATTACTTATTTACACTTCATTAAATTTGAAATTGTGATCTCCTAAACCAAGGTCACCTCTAACAATTGCACAAATGACATCCCTGATTAATAGTGCTACCCTCTCCACCCTTGCCTAGCTTCCTGTTTTTTTTGAATGTCATGTTCCCCCAATATTAAGGATCCATTCCTTGTCATACTGAAGCCATGTGTCTATAATGCTATACAATCATATTTATTCACTTCAGTGTCAATCATCATCAATATGTTTACTTTTGTTGTGAATGTTACACACATTCAGATACAGAGCTCTTATTTTGTCTCTTTATTACCTTTTAACAACTAGCTTTAATTGTTCTTTTTTTTGCCGAGGTACTTCTTCTCTCAGCCCCTTCCTGCATTCCCTGACCCTGTCTTATCTTGTCCCCACCCTGTGATATACGATATATTTCCGCACTTGATCCCTTGCCCCCCACTATTTAGTTTAAAACCATGTCTACTTCCTTAGTTATGCAGCTCTGGGAGCTCAAAATCCTGCCTATTAACTCTTTCTCTCTTCACAGATACTGCCTGCCTAACTGAGTGTTTCCAGCTTTCTCTCTTTTAATTTCAAGCTGAAGTTAGTCTGAGCTTCTAGGTTTTGTATGGTAGATATCGCCACAGTGAGATGAATGTTATCCAATGGAGACTGAGTTGTAGCTCGAAATCAATGATTATAAAGCAAAAGAACAGAACTGTTCACCATCTATTACTGGATTGGCAGCCTCATGCAAAATAGCACAAAGGTGGCTGACTAACAGAACAAGTGCTCTTCTAAGATGGATTTGAGGCACATTATTGGGAGGTAGAAAGAGAGTATTTTTGTGCATCTGTTCGGTGCTGTACCAACTTGACATGGTTGTGTTCAATCCTGGTAGGCTTTGAAGATATTCCAAACACAAGACTGACACAAGGCTTGAACAGCACAAAATCTTTGAGTGTATCCTATTGATAGAAAAAAAAGCACAAAGCAGATGGACAGCACTTTCCAAAAAGAAAGATTATTTCACAGTTCCAGTTGATTAGTAACTCTCAGTGAATTTACATTTTGTTGTAGAGAATGGACAGAGAATTCTCAGCTGTGGATTCAGCAGGTATCCAGTACTCCCTGCACTCGGATTGATGTTGTCCATCTTCAGGAACAACTGGATCTCAAGCTACAGCAGAGGCAAGCTCGAGAGACTGGAATTTGCCCTGTCCGCAGGGAGCTGTACTCTCAATGCTTTGGTGAGTCTCTTCAGGACTGGTTCCCCTTTTGTTAATATGGATAATCTCTATTATAGGTATAAACATTAAGAACTAATCTTCAGAGAAATTCAATGATCTGGTTTTTGTTGCAAAACCTCTCATCAGAATCCCTTTGTGAATCTCACAAAGAAGAAAATTTAACACAGTTACAATATAGTTTAGTCCATGGGTGCAGAAGCAAAATATCTACACATTTAAAATTTTGTGATGAATCTTATTTTTTATTCGCCAAGTGCAAGTTACATCTAGTGTTTTTATAGTTCCTGCTGTGAGGCTGAAGTGAAATTTCTTGCCTTGTCTTACCAAATTCACCTCATTAACTACCCACCCCACTCTTATGGCTTCCCTCTCATTTGCTTCTATCCTCATTTTACCATCACCACTCTAAGAGCAGCAAGCCTTGTGCCGTTTGTAAAAGGCCATTGTGCATCTTGGAAAGTCTGTCAGTCGGCGATGCCCTGCACAGTCCCTGACATTTGTTTCAGCATAGCAATGGGGAAATTGGCAACTTGCAGTGCAGGCAGGAATCTGAAAGCCCTGTGGAACGGCAGCATGCAGATGTGGATGTCCCCTTCGCCCAGGACCAGCTGTGGTGGCCACAACACCAGACCATGCCAGACTGTCCGAGGTCATGACCCAGCTGTGTGCAGTCTCAGCTGTCCAAAGCAATGTTGAACAGTGTAGAATGACCTGGTCCACTCGGCCAGCATCTTCTCTCCGATACCTCACACTATTTCTACTGCTGTACTAGTCTCCCACCAAGACTCATGCTCTGCCATTCTCACTGTTGCCTGCAACATCTTTCCCATTTGCTGTTACCCACTCTAAACTCCTGACACCAATAACTCTGCACTTCCTGTGCACCAGCTACTCAGTCATTCAAGACTCCTTCCCCTTTGCACCAAAAGTAACAGCTGTGCCACCCACTTACATTCTGCCTTTCTCAACTCCCAGGGGAAAACAACCCAGAATGGGGAAGAAAGATAGGTGTGCATTGCCCATCATTTGCCTCCTAATCGCTATGTGGAGGGCATTGTGACTCTGACCACCTCGAGTTACTGACTGTGTCTAAACCTCCGGACTGGTTTTGGACTCACTGTGTTGGGATTGCTTAAGTGAGTGCTACGTCCCCTGTCGTAATTGACGACTGCTGCTAACCATGATAAGCTTCCTGGATTTGTGCATGCGTTAAGTGGCAAGGCAAGGCAGAACTAGTATTTCACTAAGGAGGCAAAGTGCAAAAAGACAATGCAAGGTAGGGATCCTGTGAGCATCCAAGTAGTGAGTGAGCACTATGACAGTAAGCTAAGAGTCCAGAGATGCAGCCTGGTCCTGTCCATGAGCTGGGTGTGTCTTCCTGAGGGCACAGTATCCATGCAGCAGTATTAGAATGATATTTCTTGGTACAGTCCGAACTACAGTATTTTAAGTGCTGTAGTCCTGTAAGTGGATTGGAGATATCCCATGGGAGCTCTTATAGACTGCGTCATGTCAGATGCCAAAGTCCATGGATGTGGGGTGTGTATGGCCAGTGCCTATGGTGCATGCTGGTACCCAGTGTCCTTTTTGTTCCATGTCAAGAATTCCTAACATCTATTATGTTGGTGTGTTTGGTAAGATAAGAAGCTGAATATTAATGGGAAAAATTTGCCATTAAGAAGGCATCTAATAAGCAGTAATGTTCAATTGGCAACTTGCTGCTGCCTACCAAGAAACTTGCCCAGTCTTGTCACAAATCTTGTCATAGCACCCGTCACTCAGGTATGAATATGGTTTCATTCTGTGTTTTCAATTGGTAAGGGACAACTGTAAACAGTGAGAGAAGCCAAATGTCAGAATCAGGTCACTCACTCACCTGCCATCTATGTATCTGAATTAACATTGGTTTGAGACTTGGCCATGAGGTAGGTCTTGTTTATACCTGTGCTGATTTAATGCTCATCACTGAGGGGCTTTACAGTGAAGTAGTTAAGTAGTTAAATTTTGTGTTTATAAACCTGTTATCTATAATGCCACATTGTTTAATGAGGTTTAATAAAGCAAATGTTAGTAACCCCTCTTTTCTTTTTTCCAATTTCTCTTGGAAAGACACTTATGTGCTGCCGTACTGTTTCATGTTTACTGACAACCCTTCTGTATGCTATGCTTGGATTCTGACAATGAGCAAGCTATTCAACTTTGGAGCATCACATCCAAACCCAAACTAGTTTCTTAAATAGAAAAGTACTCAACTGAACAGTCGAACTACCTTAGTGCATTAAAAGGCACATATTCAGTAGGCACTTGAATTGTGTGCTGTGTTCTTTATGCACTTAAAAAACTGGAAACTATAATGATTTTGTGACACAACATCATGATGTTCTGCTGTTGTGACATGTGTGCTGTGAAAGGCACAGGATATTTTCTGAGTTTTGCATTTTTCATTGTATTTCATAGATGAACTGATCAGGCAAGTAACCATAAACTGTGCTGAGCGAGGATTACTGTTGTTGCGAGTCCGCGATGAGATCCGAATGACCATTTCTGCCTATCAGACACTGTATGAAAGCAGTGTGGCTTTTGGGATGAGGAAAGCCTTGCAAGCAGAAGAGGGCAAAACTGACATGGAGAAGAAGGTAAGCATTTGGGATGATTTAAAAATCCTCATTCAGTGCCTATGTGCGTAGGTTGGTAATTTAAACAACTAACAGGAGGCAGATATTCCATGACCGCCCCAATCTTCAATGATGGTGGAGTCCACCATGTGATTGCAAAAGACCCAAATTTGAAGCACTTGCAACCACCTTCGGCAAGGAGATACCTCCTCCTGAGGACTCCACCATCTCAGATGTCAGTCTTCAGTCAATGTGATTCTTCCCATATGATAGAAAATGGATGACTGCACTGGATACCAGAAAGGCTGTGGACCCCAACCTCTATCCTGAGTGTAGTGGTAAGGTGTTCCAGCATAACTGGCATCTTTTCAACAATGTGAAAAATTGCTCAGCTATATCTATTCACCAAAAACAGGACAAATCCAGTCTGGCCAATTTCTGTCCATTGCTCCACTCTTAATCAGCAGCAAAATGATGGAAGGCGTTATGTGAAATTTATTACCTGTACTCTGATGCTTAGTTTGGGTTCTCCCTGGAACATTTGGCTCCAGATTCCATTACAGCCTTTGCCCAAAATGGATTAAACAGCTGAACTCCAGAAATGATGTGAGAGGAACTGACCTTGAGATCAAGACTACTTTTGTTTGACTCTCCTTGATGCCACAGTCTATGAGAATCAGGGGAAAAAGTCTGTGCTGGCAGTTGTCATTATCTACTGTAAATAAAGCTGATTGTGGTTATTAAAACCAATGTATTTCACTCCCCCCCCCCCCCCCACCCCTCATCATTCCAGGAGTATCTCAGGGTACTGTCTATGCTTAAACGTCTTCAACTGATTCATCAATGACTTTCTTTCTGTCTGAAGTCAATAGTGGGGCTCCTCACTGATGATGGCGCAGCATTCATTACTCCTCAGATTATGATGTAGAAGAGGGCTTAGATGCAGCAAGACCTGGGCAACATTGGGGATTGGGCTGATTTCACAAGTAGTATTTGTGTCACAGATAATGTCGCTAGGTAATGATCATCCTCAACAAGAGAAGTTTAATGATGTCTCCAACTTTCAATAGCATTACCATTGCTGAATCTCCCACTGTCAACATCCTGGGCTTCACTGAAACTTAACTGGATCAGCCACAAAAATATGGTTGCTCCAAGAATAGGTCAGAGGCTAGGAATTCTGCAGCATTCAACTCCTGATCCGAAAGCCTGGTTATCATCTACAAAGCACAAGTCAGGAATGTGATGAAATACTCTCCATTTGGCTGGATGATTGCAGCTCAGAAAATATGCAGAAAGCTGACACTATACAGGAAAATGTCTCTTTGATTATCACTACCTTCATTACATCAAATGTTTACTTTTTTTTAAACCACTGGTGCATTGTGACTGTGGTGTTTAAACCATTTACAAAGTATATTGCTGCAAGTCACTAAGCTTCTTTAGCATCACATTCCAAATCCATGACCTGTACTACAAGGGCTGCAGGAGCATAGGAACACCACCACCTTGTAAGCTTATCTCCCAAATCAGGCACCACGCTATATTGGAAATATATAGCTGCTCTTCAGAATTAGAATTAGGTTTTATTGTCGCGTGTACTCATGAACATGGATACAGGGGTGCAGCGAAAAGTTTACAATGTCACCATTCACAGCACCATCTTAGATACAAGATAACTAGGTACAAAATCTTGGAAAAATAAAGAAATAAGTTAAAAGTTCAACATTACAGTCCTTCTTTGCAGGCCTGCACTCACTCCATGCTGTTTTTTCCCCCCTGAGAGGGCCCGATTTCTCCCTGCGCTGGGCTTGATCTCTCGATCCCTGCACTTCCGTGTTGTTGTATCGCCACCGACTGCCATCTGGGTTCACCAGCCGCCTCGCCACAGGCCACTAGAGTCTCGCTCTGGTGTCATGCTGGGCCTCCAATTACTTCTGTGACACCACTGACCACCAGAGCTCAGCCCAGGCCACTGACCGCCAAACTCCCTGCTGTGGGCCCCCAGCCACAGCCATGACCGAGCTCCCTCCAGTAGGTAAGTAGAGGAAAGAAAAACTAAAAATAAAAGAAAAATGCGAGAAAAGAACCCGTAAAAGCGGTTGGAGCAGATGTGATCTGGATCAGGGGTCCTATTCCGCTGCCATCTTAGCTTCGCCCAATTCATTTAAAGTTAGTCAGAATCCTGGACATCAGCTTATCATCAGCAGTGTAGGTATAACCCAGCCTGTCACACCACTATCTTCTCAATGATAATTAGGGATAACCAATAAATACAAACCTTGCTGTCCCATGAATGAAAGCAAAATTGAATTTGACTTCATTTTCCATTTCATTTTGTACTAAAATTTGTGAGCATGTTTTACCCTGGTTAGATCATTGACTTGGAAACAGAAAAGAAAGAGCTGGAGAGACAACTCAACGAACAGAAGGCGAAGTGTGAAGCCATAGAGAAAAGGGAGAATGAAAGACGTCAAGTGGAGGAGAAGAAGCATGCAGAAGAAATACAGTTTCTCAAACGGACTAATCAGCAACTTAAGGTAAGCAAAGCAAAGCAAATTAAGCTATAGTTAGTATTTTCTGATTCAAACTGGTTACTCAAAGTATCCACACATTTCATTTTATCCTTTGCAACTTTGGCGTCATCTGTTGGTAAGGATTATTAAATGTAACAATATAAAATTAGCCCCTCCTTAGTAAATCCTCATTCCAAGGTACAATGAACCAAACAGATTTTCTTAATTTAGTTAAATATCAACATACAACATAAGGGTTTGCATTTCCTCAGTTTTGGGGTCACCTTGTTCTGTCTTCTGTGAATTTTCAATGTGCTTAATTCCAAATTGTGGACAAGTGACTGAGGAAGTAGGGATTTACTGCCATTTTATAAACTCACCAACAGCTGATACAGCAATTGTCTGATAAATTTAAATGAATATATACAAGGAAATAAAATTTGTTATTGTTATCAGATGGAATAGTGTTAAAAAGTTCCTGACATGGGTCTCTACTCGTTGGTAATCTCATATTATCCACCTGTTTTTGTGTGTGGATATTCTTCACTATGGTGTTTGCTTTCCAAGTTCATTGCCTTTTAATTTTACTCAAATATGCTGGCATAGGTTTTCGATGGTGTATACTCATGTAAAAAGTAAAGTTTTAAGTCTAAATTTGTAGCCAAAAAGTAGGAGTTGACTTTGACACAAGGAATAGCTTCAAGGCACTGCAGTGCACTCTCTCCCATCATCTTGCAATCTCAGAGTTGCCACCTTGGAGGATGCAGCACACAACAGTGAGATGGTAGCCTTGACAGTATGCGTTGGTGTGTGCAGACAAGAGTAGCTGGACAGTCATCTTCAATGTTGCGCTAGTTTATGATTCTGTCAATAAGTGGTTTGCGTCAAGGCAAGTTTGACCTAAGCAGCACTTAATTTATTTGTCTTATGTTTTATTCTCTCATGGGATGTAGGTATTGCCGGCCTGACCAGCATTTATTGCCCACCCATAGATTTCCTCAGTCTGCCTTCTCGAACCGCCGTACTCCATTTATAATCAACATTTTTGGCTAAAAGTTGGGGGTTGACTTAAACACAATAGATGAAAAATTAATGTTCTTTTAGCACAAAGGTCAAGGATGTGAATTTACGAGATTGACCATTACTTGAGTATAGAGGGTGGTAACAAAGGACTTTAAACTAGTTAGGGGTGGGGGATGGTGTTGGGGGCCCAGGAGAAATTGTTAAAATTTCTAGAGTCAAGGGGACAGCTATGAGAAGGGGGTGGTCAATGCAGGACTGAGGGTGTTGTACTTAAATGTGCACAGTATATGAAACATGATGACTGAGCTTGTAGCGCAAATTGAAATTGGCAGTACAACGTTGGGGGATTTACAGAGACGTGGCTGCAAGGGGATCATGGCTCAGAATTAAATATCCAGGGACACACAACCTACCAAAAGGACAGGCAGATGGATAGAGTGGTGGAGTTGCCTTGTTAGCAAGAAATGAAATTAAATTGATAGCAAGACTAGTAAAGGATCAGAAGGCATAGAATTTGTGTTGGGTGGAGTTGAGGAACTGCAAAGGATAAAAAGGCCCTGAGTTGTGTACAGCCTTCTCACAGTAGTCTGGATATAGGGCAGAAAAAGCATGTAAGATTGGGACTATTTCAATAATCATGGGGTACTTCAATATGCATGTGGAGTGGGAAAATCAGGTTGGTCGTGGATTCCAAGAAAAGGAATATCAATAAGATGGTTTTTTGGAGCAGCTTGTGATGGAGCCTACTGGGGAATAGGCCATTCTGGATTTAGTGATGTGTAATGAGGCAGAGTTGATTAGGGAGTTTAAGGTGAAGGAACCCGAAGGGCGCAGTGACCACACCCTGTGGAATTCACCCTGTAGTTTGAGAGGGGGAAGCTTGAATCAAATGTAACTGATTAAGGCAACTACAAAGAGGTTACGGGAGAGCTGACCAGAGTTGATTAGATATGGAAGCCTAGCAGGGAAGATGATGGAGCAGCAATGCAGACGTTTTTAGGGATAATTCGGGAGGCATAGCAGAAATTCATTCCAAAGAAGAACATACATTCTGAGGGAAGGACGGGACAGTCATGGCTGAGAAGGGAACTCAGGGACAGCATAAAAACAAAAGAAAGAGCATTCAATGTGGAAACTAGTGGGAAGACTGAGGATTTGGAAGTTTTTATAAACCTCCAGAATATGACTGAAAAAAGAAGGGAGAAGAAGATGAAATGTGAGGGCAAGCTAGTTTGTGATGTGGAAGAAGATTGCATGAGTTTTCTTTAGATAAATAAAAACTAAGAGAGAGGCAAGAATAGACACTGGACCACTGGAAAATGAGGCTGGAGAAATAGTAATGGGGAATGGAAAAATAGCACAGGAACTGAATAGGTACTTTGCATCAGTCTTCATGGTAGAAGACACCAGTGGCATGCCAGAACTTCGAGAGTCAGTGGGCAGAGGTGAGACTATTGGCCATACTAAGGAGAAGGTGCTGGGGAATCTGAAAGATCCGAAGGTGGATAACTTACCTGGACCAGATGGATTACACCCAGGGTTCTGAAGAGGATAGCTGATCAGATTGTGGAGCATTGGTGGTAATCTTTCAGGAATCACTGGAATCAGGGAGGGTCACGGAGGACTGGAAAATAGCTAATTTAACACCCCTGGTTAATAAGGGAGGAAAGCAGAAGTCAGGGTATTATAGGCTGGGTAGGCTTATCTTGGTCATTGGTAAGATTTTAGAGTCTGTTGTAAAAGGATGAAATTGTGGAGTACTTGGAAATGTGTGGCTACATCAAAGGGATGTTATGCCTGACAAATTTGTCAGAATTCTTTGAGGAGGTAACAAGCAAGTTAGACTAAGGAGAGCCAGTGCACATAACCTATTTAGATTTCCAGAAGGCCTTTGACAAGGTGCGGCACAGATAAGAGCCCATGGTGTTAGGGTTAGGTACTAGCATAGATAGAGGATTGGCTGACTGACAGAAGGTGAAAATAAGGATAAAGAAGTATTTTTCATGATGGCTATTGGCGTCTGTGGAGTTCTACAGAGGTCAGTGTTGGGACCGCATTCACATAATACATTAACAATGTGGACAGAGGACTGAGGGCATTGTTGCTAAGTTTACAGGTGACAAAGATAGAAACAGGTACTGTTGAGAAGGTGAGGAGGGTGCAGAAGGAGTTGGACAGACTAGGAGAGTGGGCAAAGAAGTGGCAGACGGAAAAAAATGTGAACATGTAAGGTTATGCACTTTGGTAGGAAGAATAGAGGCATGAACTATTTTCTAAACAGGGAAAGGCTTTGGAAATCTGAAGCACAAAGGGACTCAGGAGTCCTAGTTCAGAATTCTCTTAAGGTTAACATGCAGGTTTAGTTGGCAGTTAGGAAGGCAAATGCCACAATAGTATTCATTCCAATAGGGCTAGAATGTAAGAGCAAAGATGTTCTACTGTGATCCAGAACATACTTCTAGCTAAGCTGTTCCAGTGCAACTACAATACTGGCATCTATCTGGCAATGTAGAAAATTGCACAGATATGTCCTGTCTTCAAAGCAAGACAAATCCAATCCAATCAATTACCACTGACATAAAACAAAGAACTGCAGATGCTGGAGATGTGAAACAAAACCAGAAGTTGTTGGCAAAACTCAGCAGCATCTATGGGATAAAAGCAGAATTGATGTTTTGAGTCCAGTGATCCTTCATAAGAACCACTCAATTCATTTAGTCTCAAGCATCAGCACAGTGGTGGAAAGTGTTTGAAAGCAGTGCTGTCTAGCAGCACTGAGCAAGAATTGCTGAATAATTTAACAACTTAGCAGCATAATTCCTCACCAGTGCTCAGTTGAATTCCACCAGGGCCACTTGGGTCCAGACATCATTAAAAACATGGACATAAGGCCGAACACTAGAATTGAGTTGAGAGTGATTCCCTTGACACTGAATGTGACATCAGGCCACCGCAGTAAAACAGGAGTCAATGGCAGTCAGGTGTAAAACTCTCACTAGTTGAACTCATCCTAGTAAAACAAAGGTAGTTGTGGTTTTGGAGACTAATTATCTCATCCCCAAAACGTTACTGCAGGTGTTTCTCAGATGCCTTAAGGCACTAAGCCTAGGAGCTTCATCAATGACCTTCTCTCCATCATGATGTCAGAAGTGGAAATGCTTGCTTCAACACTATTTGCGACTCTTCAGATACTGAAGCAGACTGACTGCATGCAGCAATAACTGGACAGCATTTCGTCTTGGACTGATATGTAATAAGTAATATTTGCATTATTAGTCCCAGACCAGGACCATCTCCAGAGCATCTAGCCACTTCTTGATTTTCAATTGCATTACCACGGCTGAATCCACAACTATTAGACATCCTGGGCATTAACCATTGACTAGAAACTTATCTGAACCCACATTATAAATACTATGGCTTCAAAAGCAGGTCAGATGCTGGGAATTCTCCAGCGAGTAACTACTATTCTGACTCCCTGAAGTGGGCTTGAGCTTTGACACACAGAATAGTTTCAGGGCATTGAAGTTCACCCTCTCCCATTGTCTTGCAACCTCTATGTGAATTATCTACAAGGCACAAGTCAGGTGTGTGATGAATACTCTCTGCTTGCCGGGGTGAGAGCAGCTCCAATTATATTCGAGAGGTTTGACATCATTCAAGTCGAAGTAGCTCATCAAGCTTCCTTTGACAGCACCTTCCAAATATGTTCATCTAAAAGAACAAGAGTAGGAGACATATGGGGACACCAACGTCTGCAAGCGCCCCTCCAAGTCGCACGCAATTATGACTTGAAACTACATGACTGTTCTTTCTCTTGTCATTGGGTCAAAACCAAGAACTCTCTTTCTTAAAGCACTGTGCATGTACTTCCACCCCAAGCATTATAGTGATTCAAGAGGCTGCTCATCCTCGTCCTCTTTAGGAGAATTCAGAATGGATAATGGCTGATCTTGCCAGCCATGTCTCATTTAAAAATAAGCATCAGTTCAATTTAAATAATTTCACGATTTGTAAATCTTAATCCATTTTGAACATATAAATACTTGAGAGTGTGTGTCTGTGTAGATGTATATATAAAATTTGTAGCTTACTAGCATGCTACATTACTGCTGTACTTAGTTTATGCTTGTTATTTAAATAATTATTCTCCAGTTACAGTAGATTGTCATTTCTAACAGGAATACTAGTCACAAAATGAATTGTTTTTCTTATCCTAGGCACAACTGGAAGGCATAATATCTCCAAGGAAATGAAACCATGCACTTTCTGTCCAATCCAGACTGAAGTATACTATGCTCTCACACTATTACTGTAATTTAAACTGTATACAAGTTACTACATAGGCATAGTCTGTTGAATAGAACCTCAATGCTCTAAAGACTAGTAACAGAAATACAGCCGAGACTCTTTGGATGCATAAATACAATGTAAGTACAACATATAATTAGTTTAGCAAGTGACACCATTAAATACCCAGTTAATTCTCTCTGCAAAGAGGTCCGTGGAATGGTGTATTCTCTGGTCCTGACAATGTTGTATGTTTACACTATACTTACCATGGTACTGCAATCAACACTAAGATTGCACTTAAAGCTATTCCATGGCCACAAAGAAATGTTACAGTAATAATTCCAGAAATAGTTTTAATTAAAACTCTAATTTAAAAGTATTTTTCTTTTTAAATTATGATAATTAAATTATTTCAGTTCTGTCTAATTATAGGTCTCAATAAATCTTTCACCTCAACAGGAAGAGGGAAACCTATATGTAATCAACAGGTACCTTCCAAAACAAAAAGTACTAAAAAAGGCATCAAAAAGGACAAACTTAATTTTAAAGAAAGAAAAGCTATTTAAAGTGGCAGCAAACTTATTTGTTCCTGGAAAATGCTGCTTGAAGTGGCATATTCTCTCCACTGTGAAGGTATCTGATATGATCTCCTGTGAATTTGAAGGTTCCACGCAGCTTCAAAAAGTGATCATACCACGGCAGTTTACAAAAAGTTAACCAAAAAAACCTAAAAAAAGCACAAACCTTAAGTACTGATCAAATTACAACTGCTTTCAAGGGTGTAAAAAAATAAATAATTATTCATCCACTATTAGTTCTTTAGACGTTGAGGTACTGTTCCATACTTTCCTTCCTTTAACAACATTGCATTAATAAATGTTGGATTTGTGTATTTTTATTACTATGTCAAATTCTGAATTAACATTGCGGTACTAATTCTGCTGTAAATTTTAAGATTTAAACTGTACCATTCTTTTAAAAGAACGTGTTTCTTGAAATAAATGCAACTTTGAAGTCATCTTAGTTCAGAGCAAATAGTGTACAGCATCTTTTCAATAATATTAAAAAGATGTTTATGTCATTTGATTGGTGGCTTGTGAATTCATGTATAAACTGTATTATGAAGATTCACCTACATAAAAAAAACAGGAGTTGGAGGTGACCACTTGATCCTTAGAGCCTGATTCACCATTCAGCAAGATAATATTGATCCTTTGCCTCAACTGCACATTCCTGCAATAACCTCATATCCATTTATTCCCTTGGTGGTTAAAAGAAAAATTGAACTGTGTCTGGAATATACTCAAAATCTGAGCATCCATAGATCTCCATACAACCCCAGGATAGTAAAGTGGAACTGTAGATATTATTTTTCCTGTGTATACTTTGTATTCAGTATTGTATTACCCAAAACCATCATGAATCATCATAAGTGGCTTATGTATTTTCAAGCATTCAGAAACATTCAATTTTTTTTCCTAAATGAAAACTTATCCTGAAGTGTCTTTGCACGATACATCATGGCCATATGAAATATGTTGACGTTTGAGTAATACATGAGCAAACAATAATGCTTAACACTTGTTCATGACAGAAAATAACACATACCACTTGATTGTTTTTGCACACACATGAAGCTTATGCACAAAAAAACCTGGAAACTTGTCTGAGATAGTAGGAACTGCAGATGCTGGAGAATCCGAGACAACAAGGTGCAGGGCTGGATGAACACAGCAGGCCAAGCAGCAT